CCCGGAGTCGTTGTTATACTATTGTTGTGCTATGATTTTCTACTTTTCCGATTCTGTAATTTACCCTGAAAACGAGTCTTCTCTGATTTCTCACTAATTTGACAGGGAGAGGCGGAGAGAGGGATGACGGAGTTGGCGATGGGTAGCAGCACGGAGCGGAGTCCGGAAGAGGAGAGGGTTTTGATCGGAGATATTGCTATCGCCGGCGAAGCCAACAGCAAAGAAGGCGACACCTTCTATCTCATCACTTGAAAGGTTAATATCTTTCCTCATTTTCACTCTCAATTTTGATTTGTTCTTATACTCGTTCTTACTTGCATTCCAATGATACCTCCAAGTTTTGCTGTTGATTCATATGCAGATTGCACTGATTGCACTGTGTTTGCTCTTAGTAGTGCTAATTTTGAGTTAGCTGTTTTCAAATTTACGTAGCACTTTAATCCTTCTTTTGTTGGGGGTATGAGGGTGGAGGTTTTTGGGACGCTGCTCATGCATTTAAGTTGTTGAGAGAAATCTTATGATATGCTGGATCAATAATGTAAAGAAAGACCAGCAAAATAATGGCAATAATGAACCCTCTTTATTGTGAAATTCTGATACTCTTAGTTCAGGTGCATTGAAGAGGCCTGCAGGAATTGATAATTCTGATTTGGTGTCTGATGCAGCACTAGGGGACTCCAGTTTGGGCACTGAGATTCACGACTCTCTACTATTATGTCTTCCTTCCTTGAGAAGTTTGGAGCCAATTGGCTGTTCAAAAAAAAAAAAAAAAAGTTTGGACCCAATTGTACTCATGGTCAGTCCATGATTCTCTATGAACTCCATGCCTTAACCATTACCGCATTACGGTAGCCTGAGCAGTGGGCGCTATGCACATATCAAGGCAAGTGACATGTATGCTTTTATTTGATATGGAGAAAAAAATGTTAAAAAATGCTGTTTTTTGTTAGTGCATGTTTGAAGGATGGCATAACCTATCAATTACAAAGATTTTGTTTGGAGCATAGATTTGTTACCATGCAATACCTATAATTGTCTGAACTTTATTTTCTGTAAAGAACTGGTTTTTCCATCTTGTTCTGGCTGAGTTTTTGGCATTTGTCAGAATGAGAATTTTTTGGAGTTTATGACATCTATTTTGCTGCTTATGACTTTATAAGTTAGGCTTGGCTATGGTATTGCATCCTGCACCATTTCCATCTCACCCTGATTTCCACCCTTTGTGGCACCTGCAGCTTCTAGAAGAGAATTGGGGGTACGATTTTGATGACAGCCATATATTGCCCATAAAAGAAGATGATGTGAAGTCATCTGCTGCATATGTCCTCTTCTATAGAAGGGCAAAATCTGATGCCTCAACCAGTGTCGCTGCTTAGTCTGGAACAGGTCATGGCACCAATCATTCTCAACATTGAAGTCTCAAGGATATTCATTTATCAGCACATATCTTCAATTTCCAGGTGTGTTCCTCAACTTTTTGCTCCATGCGTAAGGCTCATTAGTGAATTGGCCCAAAAAGTGTTTTTTTTTTTTTCCTCCCTAATTTTTCTTTAGAAAATGTTGTGGTCATTTGCAGAATTCCAGTTTTTTCTTTTTTTCTTTTTTTTTTTTTCTTGCTGAGCATAACATTAGTTCAATGGCACCTGTTTATAGTGGTATCATACATACTGCACAATGTCATCTTCCATGAAATTCCTTGATGAACATCAACAGTGTACATTCATTCAGTTGGTGGGCCGATTGCCTGTGTTATTTGAATGTCCTCTCTTGCCAATGTAACTTAATCTGGGTTTTTCACTCAGATCCCATATACTGTTCTTGTGAGCCCCCAATGATCCTTGAATGATGATCAATTCACCTTTTCTAACCACAAAATATACATTCAATTTATTGATATTTTACCATGTAATTACTTGTTGACAGTTCTAAGCACTCTCTTTTCTAGGAAGCTCTAGCTCCCCAGCATTGCATGAACCCTTATCTTCTCCCTCAACATTTTCACAAACCTCTTCCAATGGCTTGTAAGTATAAAGCCAAGCACATATCAAGTAGTATACAAGATTCACCACTTGGATCCCGCTCACAAGCCAATAGTAATACTCCAGCCTTCCCCTGTTCAGGTTCCTATTAGGCAACCAATTCCTCTTCTCCCCTGTGTACTTGTGCACCAGTGTCACTAACAATGTTCCGATATAGTTCCCAATTGCAATCGCTATCCAGTAGAATGCTGCAGCTGTACTTCTCATGCTTTCTGGTGATTGGTCATAGAGAAATTCCAAATGCCCAACATTCGTGAACACCTCTGCTATCCCATGGATGCTGTACTGGGGAACCAACCAGAACACACTTATGGGAATGATGGCCTTAGGATTGTCCAGTAACCCATGGCGAGCTGCCACAGCTTTCCGTTTCATCTCCACAAAAGAAGAAACCATTGTAGCCAATATATTTACCACAAACCCTATTCCCATTCTCTGCAAGCATGTTATACCGGAGGGATTTCCAGTAAAACGGCGGGCAAATGGGACAAAGAAGCGTTCGTATAAAATGAGGCCGGTCAGCATTGTTAGGTTGCTGAAGATTGACAGACTGGCCGGAGGAATTTGGAAAGAGGGAGACAAGCGGCGGTCCATGGAACGAGCTTGAAGGATAGTGAAGCTCTCTATGTGTGAAGATGACGTGACTATCAAAATTGAAGCGGCCCATATGGGTAACATTCTAATGATGGATTTCAGCTCTTCCACCCTGTGGACCGTCGCCAGCCTCCATAGATTCGGCGGAGTAGAAGCCTCAGCCTCCGCTTCTCTTACTATAGCAGCCTTGTCGAACCACCTACACAAAATCATTCAATAAAAAATCGAGCTAAACTCAAGTAACTTCATTAAAGGGAGTAAAAAAATTACAGGCAATTGATTTTACTTGAACTGATCTGTATGTAACAGTCTTCCATGAACAGAGATATTAGCATCCATCTCCCTGTTCTGGTACAAGAGCGTGGCATCTTCAGGTAACTTCTCTTTCCTTTTCTTCACTGCCGCAACAGTAACCTGAGCCAATCTGACCAACGGACTGCCTCCGGGTTTCAGCTTCTTATAAAGGTGTGAACCCAGGATAAACGCAATGATGGACAGAGCCATGGCGAAGGTCGGGATTCCAAGTCCCCATCCCCACCCTACATTGTCCTGGATATAAAACACTACGGTCAATGCGAGAAGCGTTGCCATTCCCATACAGAAGTAGTACCAATTGAAGAAATTCCACTTCCGGCTCGCCAGGCTTGATTTGCCCATGTCAATCTGGTCGGCGGCAAATGTGACCACGCAGGGCCTGATTCCACCAGTGCCTAGGGAGGTCAGGAGGAGGGAAATGTACAAGACCCAGAGTTGGAAACTGGATGCTTTTTGGCAATTGAGTTGAGTTGGGCATGGCGGTGGGTGGAGGGAGGGGAGGACGGCAGATATGGTAATGCTAACTAAACCCAGTTCATAGATGAAGGAACTGACCAGAATGGTCCAGAAACGGCCGGCAAAGGAATCGGCGATAAGGGCACC